AAATTTTAAAAAAAACCCAAAAAAAAAACCCCGCAGAATTAAAGTTTTATTTAAAAAAAAATCATACCCGCGTTATTATAAAATAGTGACTCTAGGGAGGCTATTTTTAAATTATTTTTACTCTTCCGGGGGCTTCGGCCCCTGGACCCTCTCCAGGACTCTGCTCTGGACCTACTGGGACCCTAAAGGTAGCCCCCAGACCCATGTCTCTGAAATATTTTTCATGCCCCCTAACTGAAATTCGTGGATCCACCCCTGCAATTTCCTTTCAACATAGAGGAAAAAGTCATCTTCAAGGTGTATCTGTCATTTAGTACATCGTCGGATACTCAGGACAAGATTCGACAATGCATGTTGTATGACTTAAATATGGTTCCATTTTTTTCTGTCCCATTTACTTCATCTATCCATAGATCTCTGTTTGGAGCCCTCTGGTCTGAAAAATTCGAAATGTTCGTCCATCTCAAATTTTTCAAACCAAAGAGCAGCTTTTTCGCCTAACCATATATTTTTTTAGAGCATTTAGTTTTACTGGGTAGTGTTTTCAATCTACCGTTTGATGAGAGTTTAATTTTCTCAGATACCAACTTGAAGATCAATTTTATTACAATTATAATGTACAAAATTTTTCAGAGGCTTTAATGGCTGATGTTGATGATGGAAAACATCAAGATGGCACTATTCATCTATACAATTCAAAGCTATGTCATTGTAGTAGTGACGCGTTTTATTCGTCTTGCAAAATATAGTTCAGACGAGGAGTCTTTAGTAAATGGTATTATGCTGTTTTTACTGTTGATAATAAAACAGTATGTATATATTTACGGCAAAGATTATATACCCTCGAATGCAAGTTTTGACTCTTAGAGAGTAGGGATTGGTTTGCTATTTCAGCATTTATGAACGATGCATTGAAGTTGTGGTCGCTTAGACTGAGTCAGCCTGAAGACCATCCACAACAGGATCTACAAATATTAGCTTTCTTAAAAAGCTTGTCTGACTTGAGAAAATTTAATTTTACCCGAAGAATCAAGAAAAGTTAAATCCAGTGTAATCAACATGACTCTGAGTCATGAAATGAATTCTTTTGCTAAGAAACAAGAAAAGTTCAATTCAGTGGCATCAACATAAAATAAAACTTGGACATGAGTTTATTCTATATACTATTACTTGTAATTTTTTTTTTTATTTCAGGGATGTAGCAACCCCCGGAGGGGGGGGGGGGCGCTGTGAAGGGGGGCGTGCCCCCCAATAATTTGGCGATTTATACATAGCTTTTTAGTTTTTATGCTTGTGTCCCCTAAATCATGTAAATATTAAGTTCTGATATTTTTTTTTATGCTCTTTAAGGAATTTTTCCTTGATAGTGTCCACCTTAAACTTAAAATTTCTGAAATTTCTTCCAATGGGCCTGTTCATGGATACAAAGATATAACCAGTGCTTTTGAAAGAAAAAGTTACAACTCATAAAAATCTAAACATCAATTCGTGAACAATTTTACAAAATTGAGAAATGTTTTATTAAAAAAAATAAACGTGTTACAAATAAGCTAACATCTAAAGTTGCATTTAAGCAAAAGAATATATTCAACATCCAATCTGATTAAAATCGGATCTTTGTTACGCTCCGAAATTCTGATGGTCGCTGTACAAAGATCGATCCGACACGTTACAAAAGTTGGCGGCAGCAGTGGGATTTTACTGGAGGTATGGGTGAACGTAATAAGCAGATTGAGGATAGCCTTAGAGAAACCTTAGATAAGATAGAAGAGAAGCTGAAGAGGTATCGCCTTGACCAGTCTACACATATAAGTAGGAAACATGACCAAGTGTCAAGCCGTGACAGTGGGCAAACTCGTCAGTCGGATGACTCATTTGACTAAGACAGAACACTGAGAGATGTCTCAGAACAGAGATTGCAAGGAAGGAAAAGTACAATGAGCCATTGGGATGAAAGAACAGAAATGATAAAGGACACGCCATCCAGACGCCCATACGACGGAGCAAGACCAAAAGTCCGATTTGCCGATGACCAGCATGTTGCAGAGAAACAGTATGACAAAAGAGCATCAGGGCCACAGGTATCAATAGGCCTTGGTTCATCTATAGAGGAGTGTGGGTTGTACATAGATGTAAATGTGCAAGGAGTAAAAGCTGAGTTTCTAGTACACACTGGGGCTACTGTTACCCTTGTTTCTGAGACATTGTACAAGAAGTTGCCTGCATCAGTGAGACCGAAGCTACATGAGGTAAATCAGACCATCATGTCAGCCAATGGTACTGCTTTGTCTGTTTATGGGAAGGCAGAATTCAATATTGGCATTGACCAGTTGACATACCACAATGAGGCAGTGGTGTCTAACTTAAAGGCAGATGGTATATTGGGCCTTGACTTTATGAAAAGAAATTATTGCAAAGTCGATGTTAGTAATTAAGTTCTGGATGTCAATGGTCATGATAAAAGAATGACAATTGAAGGTTCACTTGGATGCTATAGAATTACAGCAACTAAGACAGTGAGCATTCCGCCAAGGAGTGAGATAATCGTACCTGGTAAAGTGTGTGTTCCAGAGGGTTCAAGTCTGCGATACTGCGAGAGTATTATTGAACCAGTTGATAAGTACATCAAACAGCAGAGCACACTAACTGCAAGAACAGAGGTAAACCCCCAAGAAACTGTGCCAGTTAGACTAACGAAATGTTGAACAAGAGTCAAAGGTGGTGCACTCTGGGACAGTAATTGGACAACTTGCTGAGATAGACACAGTGAAAGACTCACTAGTAAATGAGAAATCATCAACTACCAGAGTGTTACGCAAGGATTTAGCTGATCTACTTAATAAGAGTAAGGACAACATGACTCCTACACAGTTTAAACAGGCAGAAGACTTTCTGTTAAAATAGACATGTTTGTTTGCAGAAGATAGTTTGGACTTTGGCAGGACTGGAATAGTAAAGCATCGCATCGATACAGGTGACAGTAGGCCTATTAAACAAAGACCACGAAGGGTGCCAGCTCACCTGACAGATGAGGTAGACAAGAATATAGATGACATGCTTGCAAGAGGTGTCATACAGCCCTTCAACAGTCCATGGTCCTCGCCAATAGTGTTGGTTAGGAAGAAAGATGGAACATATAGGTTCTGTGTTGTCTGTCGTCGCCTTAACAGTTGCACTATACAAGACGCATACCCTCTCCCGAGGATTGACGAGTCACTTGACCAGTTGTCTGGGTCAACCTGGTTTTCGACACTCGACCTTTGCTCAGGCTACTGGCAAGTTGAAATGGCTCCTGCAGACAAGCCAAAAACCGCTTTTACATCAAGACGAGGGTTGTTCGAATTCAACGTTATGCCGATTGGCTTGAGTTGTGCCCCGGCAACTTTCGATCGCCTCACGGAGAGCGTGCTTGCTGGATTGCAATGGGACATTTGTATGATATACCTAGAAAAGTAACATATCTCGGATATGTTGTTTCTATACAAGGGGTATCCACAGATCCGAACAAGATAGCAGTTGTCAAAGAATGGCCAATACCTGCTAATGTCACTGATCTTAGGTCATTTTTGGGTTTGTGTGGATGCTATCGAAGATTTATTCAAAACTTCTCTGCCATTGCTAAGTGTCTGCATACATTAACAGAGAAGGGGAAACCATTTGCATGGACATCTGAGTGCCAAGAAGCATTTGTTTGTCTTAAAAACTATTTGGTTCAATCCCCAGTGCTAGCTCATCCAGATTTTACTGTTCAATTCATATTAGACACTGATGCAAGTGACCAAGCAATTAGGGCAGTATTATCACAGAATGTAGATGGCAAAGAGCATGTCATAGCCTATGCCAGTAGAACACTAACAAAATGTGAACGTAGATACTGCGTTATGAAAAGAAAAGAACTTTTGGCAGTCGTGCATTTCGCTAAGCATTTCAAACATTATCTTTACGGAAAAGTTTTTTTGATTCGCAGTGACCATGGTTCATTAAGGTGGCTTTTCAAGTTCAAAAATCCCGAGGGTCATCTGGCCAGATGGTTAGAAACCCTGAGTACTTACAAGTTTCAGATCCAACATCGACCTGGCATACAACATAGAAATGCTGATGCCTTGAACAGAGTGCCTTGTCGACAATGTGGTTACGACCCTGAATGGGAGACATCAGCATCAGATGAAATGAGTGTCCAAGATGCAAATACAGTGAAACATGTCAGTGCAGCTCTTCCAGTCAATCCAAGCAGAGAGCCTTGTCACAGGATGAGAGAACTGCAAGACAAAGACAGCGACCTGAAACTAGCGAGAGGCTGGCTGCAAACAAAAAGTCGACCATTGTATCATGAAATATGTGGACTTGGGTATGTTATTAGGTCCCTATGGTCTCAATGGGAAAACCTTCTTATTGAAAATGACATTTTGTATAGGAAATACCAAGAGGACAGTGGCAAGTCATTTTGCCTACAGGCAATAGTACCGAGCAGTGAGCGAAGGACAGTGTTACAATACTGTCGTGATATTGAAACGGCTGCTCACTTAGGTGTGACTAAGACACTAGCACGCATTCGACAAAAATACTATTGGCCATGTCTTCAGGCAGACACAAGAGCTTACATTGCGGGTTGCAAGAAATGCTCGAAAAGAAAGAGTCCACAGAAGAAAAAGAGAGTGGAATGCCTATGAACAGAATCGCAACCGATATCCTTGGTGAACTGCCCATGACTGACAATGGCAACAAGTACATCCTTGTTATATCCGACTATTTCACCAAATTGACGGAAAGCTTCCCAATGCCAAACATGGAAGCTGCAACAGTTGCCAAAATCTTAGTCGAGGAGGTTGTATCACGGTTTGGCGTTCCTTACAGTATACATTCAGACCAAGGACGCCAGTGTGAGAGCGAGCTCTTTTCGGAGGTTTGCCACGCCCTGCACATAAAGAAGACTCGCACCTCGCCCTATCATCCTCAGAGCGATGGCAAGGATTGAGCGCTTCAATAACACCCTTGTCACGATGCTGAGCGCTTTTGTCAATGACCACCACTCAGACTGGGATAGATATTTGTCTTACGTCATGATGGCGTACAGAGCATCTGTACATGAGACGACTGGATTCACTCCAAACTACATGATGCTTGGTCGGGAGGTATCAACCGCACTTGACATTATGTACGATATGCCCAATGCAGTCAAATATATCCCTAATAATCAGTGGGTTTGGCATCTCAAAGAGACTATGGAAGATGCCCATAGACATGTTAGGGAAAATATCAAAGCGGTCATGATGAGACAAAAGAGAGATCATGACCAGAAGATGTCATGGCAACAATTTAAAAAGGGCGATGAAGTGTATGTCTTTTTTCCTGTGCGGAGGGCAGGGTTATCTCCGAAGTTTACAAGTTACTGGCGTGGTCCATATGTGGTAATAGACAGAATGACAGACAATACCTACAAGGTAAACTGTGGACCACGGGGCAAGCCACAAATCGTGCATGTGGACAGATTGCGCCTGAAACGTAGCCAGACGTTAAGAGATGAGGTTGTAGAGGACAGTACTTCTCAGGAAGGAATTAGTCAAGACACAGAGAAAAGTGTCACTGACAATGAAAGAAATGACATAGAAGCACCTCCAAGTGAGGACAACTTTGATGTTGATGGGGGTGGGGCTAGATTCAGAAGACCGCCTACCTGGTTGCAAGACTATGTGTTAGATTAATTGTATTGTCAAACAAAATATGCTTAGTAACTCAAGTTTATTTTATTTTTTTGTCATTATAGGCAAATGGCAAAGACAAAGATGACTAGTGGGGAACAAACCAAAAAGTGTCCATTTTCTCTCTCAAGACAACATTCCATACTGCCTGGAAAGAACACATGGCAGAGTGCTATGAAACAAGATATTTTTGCAAGAAATGCGACTACTCTACTCTCAAGAAGGTTAACTACCTGAGACATCTTTCGAGAAACCATCGTGAACAAGCTGAGGAAAAACAAAGTAGGGACGAGTCTGGATGTAAAGATGACTCTGAGGAGTATTCGTCGAAAGAAGTGCCTGAGCAAGTCTCTTCGGTGACGAAGATTGGCTCGGACAAGATCCAGACATATCTTTAGGAGAAGAAGTACCAGATGAGAATATTGAAGGTCCGTCTATACCATTGCACAATCTAAGATTGATCTACCAGAGGGTTCAACTGTAGCAGACCCTACTGTCAGGAATAGAACGCAGCCACTTCCAGTGTACACCCGAGCAAGAGTAAAGCGCCACGGCTTGATGAACTTTTTAACGATGTCCCACGAAAAATGATGGATGCTGCCGTTCAGACTGAACCGGTACACTAAATCCATTAAGACCACAACGACTATGAGGGAAAATGGTCGTAAAATAATCACGGTTAAGAGAGAGATGTTATAAACTTTAACATGACAACTTGACGGTGCAACAGGATTGAGTGAACTGCTAATGAACAATTGTTAACATTTTGCTATTTTCTTACTTATTTTGTCATTTTGTTAAAGATCATGCGGGACGCTTGTTCTTAAGGGGAGGGAAGTGAAACGGTTGGAGGAGTTACCTCCCGTTACTTGTTAATGCATGTATAATAATTATTAATTAATGTATATATTGAAATTAATCGGTCAATTGACAAAAGAATCATACAAGTAAAATTGATTGATGATGTCAAGTCAAACAATAAGAATCGTATTTTTAAAAGGAAGGCTGTTTGTTGTATTTTGTTTATACAATATTGGAAAACTTAATGATATTCATTAAGCCGTGGTACAAAGGGCAGTACAGCTAGCTGGCCAGTGTGTAACATTTGGTGTGTGCATATTGCCGTGCGACAATTGCCGTGTGTAACTTGCTGATTATCATTTGGTGTGTGCAACTGGGTTTAGTCTCTGACGTAATTTGCAGCGTAATAGTGTACCCTGTTACTAATATAGTGAAGTTGTACTGTCTAAGTGTATTAAAGCAACTTGACTAGGGTATAGATGTAAGTTAGGCAACTGGTAGGAGGTAAGACACCAGGCAGGTGTCAACCTATAAGGCTTCTGTCAAGAGACGCCACGCAGGTGTCGATTGACTTGCGTATAGTCAGTTGTAGAGTCAGGCAATTGTCATAAGGCACCAGGCAGGTGTCAGTATTAACTGAAGATATATATTATATAAAGCATGTATAGGTCACTTGATTTAAAGACACCAGACAGGTGTCATACTATCTATATATTTTGCATTAACCATACCCCCCGTGAAACTCGGTAATCCGAGCACGGACCTACTGACCGCTCAGGTCCGACACGTTACAGTAACATAATGCTGTACATAATAAATAATAAAGCATAGAATAAATATTAGTCAGATTACACCGTGATCATTATGCATGATGACCTCCAGTTAATTTCTCTTTGGCGCTGACATCAGATCCCAATCATGAAACGTTGACGAGTGTATACATTTTCGTTTTTTACTGTTAAATTCTATAAATGATATAGATTATGATGCTAAAAGGGAAGGTAACCTTTGGGTTAGATTGTTTTATTTATTATAAGATAAAAGTTTTCGATCGTGCAGGATCAGTTTCTCTCCGATCAACTATCGCAGTTCTCAGGTTCTACTGTGGTCAGTTTCTCACCTGTGGGCGCTGTTCACGTGCACAAGAGGCACTTACACACGTCTATCATCATGTAAATTATAAAAATTTACTGTCTTACAGTGGTCTTCTGATGTTTTCATAACTTTCATCATTAAAGTGAAAAGAAATTCTTTTTTTCCCACTGTTTTGGGACTTATGTGGCAAGTGGATAATTGTGTGAATTCCGATCCGTACATGTCTTATGCAAGGTATTGATCGAGGGAGTCTTGCATCAGGTATCCAGAAGAATACACACAAATCCGTGAACTTGCAAAGGCGATTGAGGGTATACATATCAAGTGTTAAATGTGTTCTACATATAAACTAAGAAGCACTGAAATATTTCATCATATTTCCCACTTAGAACAATTTATGGCTTTAATTTTTTGTCGAGAACGATGAAGAACAATGCAGTCTATAAATTGATCGAGCTCGTTGTCTTTGTTCAGAGAATCACGCCCTCTAGTTGGAGCAAATAGTACGAGTTTCTTTAGAACAAGTCGTGTACATCTTTTCCCCAGAATTCCAAATTACGCAAGCGCACTTGCAGTTTCATCCCACTGTAAATAGTCAGCCCATGGGCTGACTAAACACTTCACCATAGTACACCCGAGAGACCGGTCGTATTTCATATCGGTCCGGATTTCTTTCTTCACAACTGGTTATAAACTTCGATTTAAACGTGTAACATTGTAAATACATAGTGTTTGGTAGCTTAGTAGTAGTGCTAGTTTTTTTTGTTTTTCTGTTTCCTTTGCATGGGAAGAAATTCTGTGGATTTTCTCCGGTTTCTTCAATCAAAGCGCAATTAACGCTAATCTTTATATTACCCATGAGTGTGATGCGAGACAAATGATGTCAGCAGTGTTGAGGGAAGGATCCAAAACTTTCACAGATTTAAAATAAAAGTTTCAAAACTTTATTTTCAGAGACTTTCATTTTTTTAGGGGGGGGGGGGCATGATTTCAATATCCTATATGTGCTAAAAATTAATTATAAATTTAAAATGAAACAAAAATTAGAGAAAATAACCGACTTAACAATAAACAACTAAAATAAAAAAGGAAATTAAAATAAATGTTGTAATTTGTAACCATTAATTTGATGTTAGAAAGTATAAGTACACAGCTTACTAATTTTACCCCATTTTATTTTCCACGCATGTAGTGCCAATTAAAAACAAAGGGTTTTTTTCATAAATATATGTCTAAGGAAGTATATGGGTGGAATGGGCTAGCTGATCCACGTGTTTTTAATGTGTTTATAAAATCTCGAGTGCACCCCAGCAAGTAGCCTCTTATCCCTGAAAAAAAAATAGTTCCTGTCAAAAACCTTTATTAATTTACGAAGTACATAAAATTTACTAGGCACAGGTACTAAAGTTGTAAAAATAGGATGGTAGAAATTTAAAAAAAACTCAAAAGAAAGAAAAATTAATTTTATATGCATGGAACTACAATTGAGTTCATTTTGATTGGTCATTTACCGGTGTGAAACCTGAAATATGCAGGGTATGGGGTAACTCGCGGTGTCTGAGAGGAACTTGCATACTATGGATTCTCCTTAGATTCAGAATTATTTTAAAGCAAGCATTCAAAAAATCCACCTCTCTAACATTCTGCCATTAATTGTCTCGAATCACTCTTAGGGGAATATCGGTGATTAGCGTTTAGCACTTGTATTGAGTTCACCTCAAATCGGAAGGGATTTCTTGGGATGTTTTTATGACTTCCTAACTTTTTTCTTTGTCCTGAGGAAGGGAAAGGGCGTCCCGAAAATTTGACAATTATTTCTACTATTCGTGTTGTTGGTCATTTTTAGTGCTTTATATATATATATATATATATATATATATATATATATATATATATATATATATATATATATAGGATCTCCCATGATTTGTAGTTGGATATGATTTTTATCCAACGAGTTGTGTGTTTTTTATCCCCGAGCCTTGGCGAGGGGATAAAAACACACAACGAGTTGGATAAAAGTCATATCCAACTACAAATCATGGGAGATTCTTTTTATCCCATGTTTAATACTTCACAACCAACGTTTTACACTGTTTTATATAGGACTCCACTTTATTTTACTTCATCGGGCTAACGCAAAAACCATTGTGACGTCACAACTGTGGATTATGAAAAATTTATCCAATGAGTCATATCCACGGGATAAAGGGGTAAACATGGGATAAATATATATATATATATATCAATGAACATTGTAGTAAGCATCATTAAACTCTTCGGCTGTCCATACTGTTCTCACTATGCGAAAAAGTAACAAAAATGAAACGATTAATTTAACACTGCATCAATTAATATAGTTAGGAAGAAAGACTCGTATTTTTATTTCTTCATAGATTAAAACAACTGAAAACCGGAAAACGAACACCAGTTAGCATAACCATCACGTGCTTGACCTCCTAGGGGTCGTATCCAAACTTTGTCATTCTTTTTCATCTTTATGATTGCTGTGGCGGATCCCGCTGACATAGTGCGACTGCCAGCATTTCCGTCAGCAATGTTGTAGCCAATGACATTATTGTCGTGGACGATAACTGTGTTGAACCAGCTCCCAGCTGCAGTCACACTGGTCCACGTAAATGAGTAGATGCCGTTCCGAGGCGCTGTGAATTTTCCTGTAGTCCTATCATATGCTGATCCAATATTGAGCGTTACTTTTCCAAATACAACGACAGCATTTGATCTCAGATTCTTTTGATGCGTTGACGTGCGCGCATGGAAAGCAATCATTCCTGTGTGTAACACGACCGTTTATTTTACTAAACTAGTATCTATATCTACAAGTATGCCGAATACAGTGCATAATTTTGGAACGCATGTTTAAAGATTTCTTCTCATTACATCTAAAACATTTACATCAATGCCATGTAAAAAAAACAATGAACAATAACAGGAACTGAACGCACAAAAGAACACATTAGCAAAACATTGAGGAAAACATATTCCATTAACTATTCAATCTACAAAATGGATATTATTTGAAACAATTGCTACCTTTTTCACTTCCTTTGCATGTCCCATCCTTAAATCCCATTCCTCTACATACTTCATTATACGTATTGAACTTCTTGATGAAGTCTTTTGTAATGCCATCTGCATTCACGGCTGTTAGCAGGAAGATTGCAACAACCACCTTCAGATTCTGGAACCTTTATATTTAACAATGTAACTTTGATTCTTAATTTATTAACCCTAACAATGATAAAACACCATTTTTCTTGATATAGTTTTCTATAATGACTTGTCTCAAATGTTGTCATGTTTGGTACTCTACATTATCTTAATTCCTAGTTTTTATTTCCATCGTCTGGCATCATTACACCCTATTTTATCAAGTCGTTCTCCCTCAATTGTTAATTCTGGTAATACAATAACACTAAAAACATAAATGTAATTATAGTACAAGAGAAAACAAAAATATTTGTCTTTATATTTGTACAAAAATATGAACTGAAAACTGAATTGTACCTGTGTTAATTGCTAACAGTTACATTCATCAAGTGATATTAAATGCATTATACATATTGTTAGATATGGTATGAATTTTCTTTTATAAGATAAGATGCCCAAATTAAGTAATCATTTAGGATAAATCAAAAAGCAGGTGTAATCACAATACTTACAAATACATTGCCTTTCTATTCGTTTCACTTGAGGATGAAATACAATGTTTTTATCTAGACAGTATTTATAACATCTAAAACACATTTACTGTCATTAAAATGAAATATAAGTAAAAATATAGATCCTGGCTATCCTGATAATGAATAAACTAAATATGTTAATATAACACAAATACCACGCCAACATTCACGTTTTAAACACACGAAAGTCCAAAGATATTAAGAAATACATTTACTAGTAATACTAAAAGGAAATATCATCTTGCTGCTTTTTTTATATACTCAATCAGTTGACAAAAGCACAGCTCATCATTTACAAGATCATCAGGGGAAAAATGGGGAAAATCAGTTAATAATTAACAAAGTTTCAAAGACGAAGTGTTAGAGCTCTGATAAAAGTGGGTTCATCAACATGAAATTCGAACTCATTAATGTAAGTGTACATACATTACAAATCAGTTGACCACCTACTAGTAAAACAAAAAGTTCAGAATTAAAGCAGTAAATATGATGAAACTCAAACTTGATCTTAAGTCATCGACAGAAATTCCAACATCAGCTCATTTTCTACAAAAGCCAAAACGTCCGAAATAAGTCAATAAGTACATAATTAGTAAGAATGAGGGCAAACAAGGCGGGGACAATCCCTCACTGTGAAGCAATATATTTCTTAATTTTCGAAGTTCATGGGAAAGTTATTTTTTAAGATTATGTTTTCACTAATGTCATCCATAACAAATTTGATTCATTTATTTAATTGAAAAACTTATTGATTGATAATTTGTTAATTATAATTGATTTCTAATTCGACAGTTAAGCATACTTATATTTAGTGGAAAGTGGATCCATTGGAGCCATAAAAAGATTTTCAAAATAAGAATTGATCGAGTATCCATCTTATATAAAAATGTAAAAATGAATGTGAAATATATTTTATGTTTCAATAAATAAGTCTGAACCCATTCTGTATTAAAAATCGAACATTTCTGATAAATATGATTTGCTTGAGCAAACTCGTTTATTTAAACTACACTGACACACTCCAATGATAAGAAGACTGCACATCGTACTGTATAAATCGGGTTAACATTAGGCATTACAGTGAGATTTGGAGAGAGTTCGAATTATATGAGAGGCTATAGATGACAAGGGTCATCTAACAATTAAACTGCATGACAAACGATGTGACTTCAGCTAGTCCATCGTCAACTTTTCTTATTTATGTAGTAATATTCCACTTTCACCCGCATATGTCTCCAAACTTATTCGATACTCAAGAGTATGCCCTGAGTACGAACAATTCTTAAACCCGAGGCAGGCTACTAACAAATGAGTTGATGTTACAGAAATTTCAACAACCTTCTTAAAGTCATTTCATAAATTCTATGGTTGTTATAATGACCTGATTAGCAAATACAACCTATCATTGGGTCGTATTTTGAATGATATATTCCGTACCAATTGCAAGGCCTTTGTTTTCATACTTATAATTTGACTGCGGGTTAATCCGTCTACCTGATCAATACATAGGGTTCACTTGTAACCCATCGACAGGGATGCTTATTCCTGCTAGATACCTGATCCCACATCTGGAATTTCCAGGGGTACTTGTTTTTGTTTTGTTTTGTTTTTTTTTTTTGAGTTTTTTTCCCCTTTTCACAGATTTGTATTGTTTGTATGTTTTTTGTTTTAAACAATATTTATTCAAAATAATGAATAGATTGGGTAACAGGCAATGCCTATAAATACCCTCTCTATACAAGAATCAAAGTTACAAAATACAATGGACTGAGTGAATATATATATATATATATATATATATATATATATATATATATATATATATATATATATATATATATATATATATAACAATGCGGGTAAACACACACATACACACTACACACATACAGAAACACACACAGACACACACACGCAAGCACACACAGACACGCACATATCCAGATGAATTAAGCATAACAATAGAATTAATAGAATATAGTAAAAAATATACATATCATAAGGAAATGTATTTAAAAACGTTTTGTTGACCTAATATATTCTTGTACATAATTTGTAATGTTGATGTTCGTTTGATACGATATCTTCGGACATCCATGTAAAAGAAAATTGTATGTTTTTTGAGATGCATCACTTTTAGTTATCGTCACTCATTTCATTATGAGACTCAAGTTTAGACCCGTTAGTCATCAATATAGAGGCATACCAAACATCAACTCATTATCGATGTCAGAAAAATAGTAAATACTTAAAACAAAAATCCTTCTAGGGGCAAAAACTTTTATGAAAATGGGTGAATCGACACAAAATTTTTACTTGCCACGTAAGTCAACAATACAGGTACAGTGTAAAGGCACATTCCAAAGAATTTCGTAAGTTGAAGGGCAATAACGTTTGTGAAAATGATTCAATCACAATGATACTTATATTTGATTTGTAAGTCGTCATTGTAAAGAGACATATCCAAAATTAGCTATCCATCGGTAAGTATGTCAAAAATATCCGAAGAAACTATGATGAAATGAAGCACGGAAAGGGATAAGACTTTATGCAGCGGTTATTAAATTGCAGGTATAAAATTGTAACCCTATCAATTGATAACTATAGTTATATTGAAGTTGATTTTTATGTCGGAAATAGTATGTTGATTTCCAGTTCTAGTGTAACGATCAATTGACCGATTTCATTCTTTATAGACTCTTAGACTGGACTTAAATAAATTCCATATAAGAGTCACATGAAGCACAACGCTCACCTCAGTCACTTAAAATGGCCCTGCTATTCTCAACGTTAAAAAAATCTTTTTTTCTTTCCATGAAAGTACGGGAGAGGGCAGGGAGGGCCTGCTTCCCCCACTTTTTTCTAAACATAACCTTCTACTGTTGAAAATGTTCATTGAAAGGCGTGTTCCCCCACTTTTTTGCAGTACAGTCAAATCAGGATATAAATTTATATTTGTCAATGTTTTCCTTACATGACAATACAAATTAAAAATGACCTTAAATTTTCAATGACATGAAGTTGCTCACATAATCAGACTTTCTTGCATATGGAAAGGAAACCACACGAGACATTTGGAAGTCTATACTGTGACGTCACATGACGTCGTACATGTATACATGTTATGTTGTTTTTCCATAACAAAGTCTAAATAGTGCATATTTTCTTGTAACACGAATAAAAAATATTAATATAAATATAAGAAATAAAATATCATTTGATAGAGTTTCATTTGGATAGGAAATGAAGTTGGTACGTACTCAGATCTACCATGAAGCCTCTTCGGGCGTTAAAGGATTTGATCACGTTACCAACTTCATGTCACACCCCAAGGAAACTCTAAAAATAATATTTTATTTCTTAAGTAATGTACATGTACTTAACAAATATATGCTAATGAAATTCGGTTTTGAAAAAAGTTGGAGCCTACCAACACCCCTACTCCCCCAATAGGATTTTAGAGTTTGGACACTTGGACAAATTACTTTCTTTTTTGCTTGTGATTTTTTTTTCAGGTAAGGTCATCTTTAAAAGATTGTTTGGTTGCCCTCTCCTGACCGACTGGCTAAAAATGGCCCGACTCAAAGCTTTTTTAAAACCTCTAGGAAGCTATTATTATTTTTTTTTTATATTCCGGAAAATACATTTTGAAAATTCAGCATTGATTTTGAAATTTTCTTTGAAAAAAAATCCCACCTACCTACAGACTCAATTTTCTCATCCTGAGTCGAGAGAGGGCAAGCAAGCATTATTTTAAAGTTGGACTAAGTTATCATATTATTTTTCTTGCTGCCCCCTTTCAAAAACGATATTACATGCCTGACTTTTGAATCCACACACACATGTGGATGCTTCAATATTAGTATGATAAAATGGCACTGCTATTCGGGAGAATTTTCAAAACTCATTTTTCATTTTTCATTTTATTCTTCAATTTGGCATTATATTCAAATTCAATGTCAAGCAGGGGAAAATATTGTTTAAATTAAATATAAAATTACTCTAATCTAAGCATTTAACACATTTATTTGAACCTTAAAAGAAGAAGAGGAAGCTACGGTTAAAAAATAATTTAAAAAAAATCATTTCACTAATGATGGCCCTGCTGTACTTGAGAAAAATATTTTAAAACATCTTTCCAATATATTTCCATGTAAAATTCTGATTCCTTATTGTGGTTCAATTCTATCTGTGGGTGCCATGATTTAAAGAAAATTGAATCTACAGTATCCGAGAATGCTTGCATGTCTATATCACTTTTCATTACCCTTCTTCTTTTGAGAGAATTTTTAAAACATTTTCCCTATAATTTCCAATACTATAATATGATCCCTATTATGGTCCCACCTTACATCCGGGGACCATGATTTGAACAAGTTTGAATCCATACTATATGTCAAAAAGTTGTCACGTAAGTTTCGTCTTTTTTGGCTAGGTGGTTATTAAGAAGAATATTGTTTAAGATGCCTACAATATTTTAATATTTCTGATTTTTCTTAATGGCCTCCCCTTTTAAGAGATCATGGGACATTATTTGAACAAACTTGAGTCCCCTTCAAATAGGAATGAATGCTTTGTGCCAGAGAATAAAGTGTGAAAAGCAATGACGACGACGACAGACAAAGGACAAATTCTGATCAAAAAGCTCGCTTAGACTTTTGGTTCGGGTGAGCTAAGAATTATCTATTCTATTAAACATTTTAAAATTATATCAATTTAAATCAAGTAGTGAATAAGCAAACGTGTGTGTGTGTGTGTGGACAAGTTTAAGGTCAGTGGCAGAAAAAGTGCACAATTCGTGTCCGGCCCAATGAAGAATTCGTGTCCAGTCTAATGAAGAAACACTGAAAGTTCACACTTTACACAGAGCTTGTTACCTAAAAGTATGTTCAAACTCTGACTTGAAGTCATTTTTGTCAAATTTAAGGTCCATTTTTTAAAATGTAAAATTATTCTGGCCATGTCTTGTCACAGAGAAACATTGAAAGTTTGTACTTATACGAAGGTATGAGAGTGTGCCACTATGTTCACCAAGGTCATTTTTGGCAAGTTCTATGTCACTGGTAGAAAAAATGTATACTGACACGCAAAAGAAACGTTGAATGATTATCTCTTAACTTTTAAAAGTAACAAATAATTGTAAAAACACCCCTTTCCCCCGCCGTTCAATTACAGTGTGCAAGACCGCCATGCACAATATTTGCAGCTTGATTTCTACGATGCATTAGGTTTATCAATCTCGATATCTGAGCGAAAGAAATATTCTTTTGTATTTTTAAGTGCCTTTTTTTAGATAATGAGGTCGAATTTTCTTCAATTTAGTAACCCTTGGATTTCCGGTCCACAGACTGTCTTTTATGAGCCTGTTGAGGAGTGATGTAGTGCATATTAAATAGCATCTGCAACTCTACATTACCTTTATTTTGAGAATTTTCAGCAAGTGCAATGGAAATGAGTACTTAAGGGGGCTTTTTATTAAGTACATTTTTAGAATCTTCACACAATATAACTAATATTTATTACTAATATGATAACTAATATTTTATATTGAAATAAATTATGGGAACAAACACAGTCTTAATCCATATTTAATAGACACATTTAAATTTGTGACAACAAAAAAAGTTTCAAATTAATTCGCATGAACAATTATTTGACTTTTCTGCATTCAAAAATGTCATTTTTCTGGCATTAAAAATTTAACAAGCAATAAAATTATTTGAAAGTAATGACATTTTACTGAATTTAGGGAGAATGGTTAAAATTACCTTATATATCTAGGAAAGAAAATTAAAAGGGGGGGGGGGGTCAGTGATGTTAATTGTTATATATTACTATAATAGTGTTAATATCAAGCTTAAATTTGGGCTATTTTTTATTATCATTATTATTATTTTGACTTTCACATTTTCTTTGATTATTTTTCAATTATGATAATAGAATTCATGACAGATATTTAAAATATATTTTAGGACCAGCATAAAACAGTTTACTGCACAAAATAACTCTATGTGCAGGCTGCATGGGAAAATAGTAATCTAAACTTAACAATACTGTAAATACTTCGAAAGAGAAAAATTGAGCATTTTCTTCTAAAAATAACCCTTCCGCCACAAAATTTGTTCCTCACTTAATGCTTTTAGTATGGAATTTAATCATGGGATTTTTACTGAATATAGTTAAATTGGCATTGTAGAATCCAAATTTATTGTAAGAACTAAAACATAATGCATAATGTTTTAAATAGCGGTCTAGACAAAAATCTGCTCGAAAGCTCAGCAACGAACCTCTTAAGTCACTTTCAGGAACACTTGGCATAACTTCTGGAAAAGAAAGGAGAATTTATTTTTCCGAATATTGCTGCATTACATATAATGAACAGATACAAACCATTAAAACCCCAAATTATTGCCAGATGTTTTGTTAAGCATGCAATTTTTTATTTCTGTTAAGTGGGCTCAAACTTAACTTAACTTCTGCTAATGGTATGAAAATCACTCAACCGTTAAATTACCGATATTTACAAAGATGAGGATGTCCTTACTTTTTAAGTGCAAGGTTATATATGCTTTATATGATATTTCCCCCTAAAATGGGATGTTGCATTTCTTTTATGTTTCAGTATATTATTCATGTCCGGTCTATTTACCCTGTAATGGAGAAATATTGGAGGACGATACTTGACATAAGATTGCTAATAACCAAAAGATGTGTCATAATCTTGACCCAATGCCTTTTAGGCTAGTTCAAGGACACTTTTAGAAAAAAATATATAACTCGTCCATGGCTTACAGAAAACGTGACTGGGAATTCATACTTCTTAGATAGATTTCTTATAACATGAGAACGTGTCATGACCTTGATATAAAGTTATTAGTTCAACTTCACGATTACTTTCAGAAACCAGAAGTCTCTGATGAGACAGTAGTTGTACTGCTTTGTATTTAAAACAAAGGAAGAGAAAAATGTAGCACTTGGACACGAAACTATGCAATCAATAAATAGTATAATGATTCATGGTTAAGTTTTTTTGTGGCAAGATTTATTGCAATCAGACTGAAGCTGTAGCAGGAGTAGCAATTTTCAAGTATTACACAGAAGTTTCTATTTTTAATAATCAAGACAACATCGCTCATCTAAATTAAAAACCGATATACAGAATTATGTATCTTAGTGTAGTCTACTTGTGTGCCAAGTTATATTGAAATCTGACCAAAACTGTAGGATCAGTAGCATTCTGAAAGTATTTCACAGAAATTTCTATTTTTATTAACCATTGTAACACCGTTCATGGAAATCAAAAAGCGATATATAGAATTATGTATGGTAGTGTAGTCTACATATTTGCCAAGTTATGTTGAAATCAATGAAGAGAGAGTAGCATTTTGAAAGTATTTCACAGAAATTTCTTTTTAGTAACCATGGCAACAACGTTCATAAAAATCAAAAACAGTAAAGGAAATTATATATCTTAGTGTAGTCTTCCTCTGTGCCATGTTACATTTAAATCAGACCAAAACTGAAGGAAGAATAGCATTTTGAAAAATTTCAGACGGACAGACAAACAGATAGACAGACTGACGGACGGAGGAAGGACACCTTACTAACGCAAAAACTCTTCTGGTCTTCGAAGAGCATTCAACTCAAATAGTAAAATGAACATTATATCCCTTCAAAGTATTTTCCACAGTTTGAAATACGTAATTACAATATCTGAATCCATTTCTTAAATGCGTCGCGGTACGCTGATTTAGGTAGACCTGTGAGGCACTGACTGATGGCTGAGATAAGGACTTGCCGGGGACGTGTAACAACGACCAGATAAGAATTTTTTAAGTTTTGAAAAAAAGTCGCATGGGGCTAGATCTGGAGAGTATGGTGGGTGTGGTAAGACGGTAACCTTCTCCGACTTCAAAAACTGCTTCACAAGCTCAGATGTATGCGATGAAACATTATCATAAAGTAGACGAGCATGCGCAAATCCTGACACAGGACATCGTTTATGATAATATTTCTTGAGCTCTTTAGTGTAAGATCTCGGTAATACCAACCTGTAACACATATACCCTTCGGCTATACCATCACATGAGAAGAATATGAATAAAGAAACTTCTATGTGCTTATGGTTCTTGTGGCAACTACAGGCCTTTTACCGTGTTTAGTTAGACATATTTTGTTTCTAATTTTTCTTAATTGTTCGAAATAGTGAACCCATATTTCCTCAACAGTAAAAACGTTTGCAAATTGTCTTTGATTGAATTAGGAAACATTTTGAGCGACTGCTTAGCGGTTTGTTATCCTATCTGTTTTTAGTCATCTATCAATATATGCAGTATACATCTGGCAGAAATCTTCCGTACATTCAAAATACGCTTCGAAAAGAATTGCACTTACGATAGCGATATGCTAGCAGCGTTGGCAATATCACAAATCGTATGTCTATCATCACTTTCAATTATTTCCTCGACTTTTGAGACATTTGCCTTGCCTGTAACATTCATACGTCGGCCAGATTTTGCTGCATCTTTGACGGACTCTGTGCCAGTCAAAAGCTCTTTTTCAACCTACGAACAGTATCAAACAGTACCTTATCAGACCCATAAACTTCACCTAATTCAGTAAAAATCTGCATTACCGAATGACCGAGTTTTGTGCTTACTTTATATCTATACTTATAAATTAATAAATTTTGTCAATAAACTCCGAAGCGGGTGCACCAGAGTTCTTAATTAGTCCTTTAACAATACACTATATACAAGATGATGTCCGTAAACTATACATAGATTTCACTCGCATAGTAAGTATCGTACATTAAATTAAAAGTCTACTTTCATTTTCTATAAACAACCATGAAATAGCAAAATCGTGAGTAAGGTGGCGTTTCCGGTTGGTGGATCTAAGTTACTGGCAATTTTTAATGAAACTGACAACAAGGCATTGTTTATTTATTTCCTAAAACGTCATCACTGAATTATTCAATCAAAACTTGATTTGATTGATATAAAATAAATAAGTTGTGATAACCGATTAAAAATGAAATTTGCAAATTATTTTCGTCATTCATCGATCTTAATATTGACAGAAGCTTCTAGAACATCATATAGCATCGAGCTCGATGTTAAAATGAAAAAAATTGTAGCTGCATGAACAAAAGAAACAGCTAAATGTGTAAATGGAAATAATGGTAAATCATTGATAACACTAAAAGTTGTATTATATTTTTTATATATCGAAAGACTATTACATGTAGTAGGTTTTCCTAATAAATTTATCGGTAAAATTTGTATATATTCCTTACTGAGAGCATCGTAGTACAATTTGTACTTCGTAATAAACTTGCTTACATGAAAAGAGATTATTAATGAAAAAGGTATTGTTCAAATACATTTAAATTTGTAAAGTTTTGTGCTTTAATCAATACATTTCAGTTTTTTTTTCTGAATACAGTCTTTTATATCAAATACTCGGCCTATTCATATGGCGTTAAAAGCTAATTTTTACACAGGTACTTGGGTCTTGGTTTATAAATATGTATGTACCTTATTGATATGTAAAAAAAAAAAAGTAAAGTATATCTTTTACATAATAAGGTACACACATATTCATAACCCAAGACCCAAGTATATGTGAAATTTTACCCCCAACCAAAAAAATTCAATTTATGAGTAGAATGTGCATAATGGTTATCCTTGATGGAAATGAAAAAGGAACATCTGAAGTACAATATCCAAAACATAGTATAACAGGTTTCACAATAAACGTCAATTAATGAAATTGCTATTTTTTTCAAATTTTTACAAAAAGGGGGCTGGGGTGGGGGTGGAGACGTACATCTACTTCATGCGAGATTTTATTTCTGTATGTATTTCTTCCTGATATAAGCCTGTAGGCTGTCAGTAGAAACTACAATATATTTTCTGTCGGTAGTGGTATAAAATCAATTCCCCGCGCTTGCGCGGGATTTTATCTAGTAAGCTCTAATTTTTTCAATATTTTCAACCCGTTTCCAAACCATTTTTACAACAGTGGTCAGCGACTGGCTCTATTGAAATGACTATAAGTTTAAAACTACGTGAGGCTGAAGGATCGTGTTTGTACTTTTGGAAAGGTATTGAATAGAGCTATTCAAGCGTATCAATATTGCACTGTGGTACAATACACATTACATATCGAACATCTCTCGTAAAAGGGATGAAGGATTATCTCACAAAGTACTAAGTTAAAACAAATAGTATTTAATGATACACAAGGCACAATTGTTTTGTTCTTTTGTATATTTCATACAGAATGGTATAAACTATGAGTACCGTAAGCACATTTTTGACAGATTTGCCCGTAGTAATTCGACAGTATGTCCCGAAAGTAAATATCCTCTTACGGTTAAGTCGAGTGTTGACTGAAGTCTTTCATACAATTTATATGGCCATATTTTCACACTGGCTTGTCTACGATTTTTTCCATTTACCCGGCCAAGCCAAGAGGCACACGATGGGTGTAACTTGTCGAAAGGGGATGCTTATTTCTTCATGGTACCTGATCCTACCTCTGTATTCAGCGGTCTTTGTTGGCTCTACTCATAACTTATATTGTTTAAGTATACCATTGAGAATGATTAAAGTTCATTATCTTCATATTTCACAATATAGTTATTTTACAGTGGTATTTAAAAAATAAATATATAATAAACTTAAGTTAAAGAACTATAATGATTCAACATAGCCTTTAAAAAATGGTTATTATTTTCAAAGTACTAGTATATGAATATTTCAGGAGGTGGTATCGTTTAATTTAAAAACAAATACTGCCCTCATACAGTTGGTTGCAAAACACAATCTTAATTTTTTTTTTTAAATATTTGATTGATACGATTTAAATTGATAGTGGAAAATTAACATTTTTTAACGATTAGTGAATGTACCGTTAAGAAATCGCCGCCACTTTGACGTTAAAGAGGAATACTTTTGGTCAGTTACTGTGTATCACAATTGAATAAGAACCAGTCTATATTCTTTATAATACCGGTAATACACATCATCGTAATCCACAATATTCAATCCAATATGGATGTGTGTAAACTTAACCCCGTGTGGATGTGAATTACCCTAAATTTGAACGAGGTAAGCTGTATTTAATTTTAAGTGTTAAAAGTGTTTTCTAAGAATGTTATTGTTTTTGTAGTTGTAGCATTCATTTGCTCATCTTTAGACATGATAATTACTTTATTGCCTTTTGGTACAAAAAAGTTTGAAAAATTTAAAACGATACGCGTATATGACTTTCAGTTACTGCTTTTTTAATTGATTTTTTTTTTATCATTTTCCACATTTTAAGTGGTTTTTGTTAAAATATTTTCTAGGTATTGATTATTCATCTTTAAGACATTATTATTATTTTTTGTATTTTTGTTACAAAAATTTTGAAATACGATTAGTTTATACGGCTTTCAGGTACAGATTCTTGTTGTACATTTCCTGTTTTTCCACATTATTATAAAAAAGTTGTTTTGTTTAAGTACATGTATTTTCCAGTTGTAAATTGAAAGCTTTATGGCTATTAATCCGGTAAACCCTTCTTAGCTTGATGCTTATTTTTAAAATTTATTTAAGTCAAAGTTCGTTCATATAATTATGCATACTTTGTGTTATAAAAATATTTTTGATTCAAAAACACATGGAATATGAAGATAACGAACAGTATTCAATCTCGAAAGTCCAATGAAACAATACAAATTTGGAGCAGAGCAAACACGGACCTCAAAATTTAGAGGTGGGGTCAGGTGCCATGGTGGAGTGAGCATCCCCTGCCGACCGGTCACACCTGCCGTATGCTCCTTGTCATGATCGGAAAAATCCATAGACAGTTCAATCTAATTAAAATTAAATGTTCCGAATCTGCTACCGCTTCTCAAACATCTAACAACATTCCATTTGGGGTCACGTCAGAGCGACCTTTCGATTACCCAATGAAATCGCCGTCGTCGAAATCTTGGCTTATAGTTCGGATGCGTTTCTTTTTTTTACAGCCAAACCTAAACGCCCGAGGGGTTTCGTAGTAAACAAAATATGCATGTGTTATATATGAATGTGACGTGCGGGATATATAGTAGTTTGTGCATTTTAGTTTGCGTTATTCAGGTAAGAATGCCAGATTGGCGGACTATACGTTCAATTTATACCAAATTACTTTAATTCAACGGAAGACAGTCTACTGAGCATCAATAATATAGAGATGTAGCCGTGGAACTAATTTTAGAATTGAATACAGAAGGTTGAATTTGATTGGCCAAATTTTTAATGTTTATTCATAATCGAAAGGTCGCTCTTACGTGACCCCGAATGGGATGTTGTTCGATGTTTGAGAAGCGGTTGCGGATTCGGAACATCTAATTTTAATTAGATTGTAGACAGTTCAGTGTATAAATAATGGCCTAGCAACAAGTATCAATGATAGGTTGTTGGTGCTGACAAGGTATTGTATCGACCATAAAAATTGCGAAATTATGACTTCAAACGAGACGGTTGAAATCCTTGTTTCATCAACTTGTTTGTCAATAACTTGTATCGTTTTAGAAATTGTTCATACGTAGAGCATTTGCGTACCCAATCAACTGAGAGACATAAACTCCTTATGCAGGTGATAAGGGTATATTGCTACTTGAGTAAGGGAAGTTGTCGATTGAAAAGTTGAAGTCATCATGTTTATCATAGTGCTTTGTTGTTAGGCTACCATTAACGTCTTTTTCTAGTAATATATTTAAATATGAAACAAATGTGTCAGACTCTGTGGTATCTTTTATCTCAAGCTCCTGGGATATATCGAGTCGACATATGAATGGAAGTAACTACTGTTAATTGATAATACTTCGTCGATATATCGAAATGTCGAGTTGAAGCCCACAACCATCTTCGCATTTCTCACAACTTGAGAAAAAAATCCCAACTTTTTTAACACCGTATGCCAAGGGCTTATGAGGAGAGTAGCGTATCAGAAACCCTTGGCTAGCGAAGATGGCCCATAACAAGTATTTCTTCTTTTCATGTAGAAGATTTTGAATAAATGCTGCTTCAAATTAATACAAAAAATAGGACTGCTAATAACGGGGAGCAATTGGTACCCATGGGAATTCCAACAGATTGTTGGAAAACCTGATCTGCAAAAACTACCTAGATATTGTCAATCAGAAACTCAAGCATCTTTCTGATATCAATATCAGAGTACTTGTGTGTATAATAATGCTTAAAAAAATGATTTTACAAATGACCAGTGAAAAGGTAAGTATATTTATGAGTTCCATTTTTATTGAAAAAGCAGCTGTTTATGATGTCAAAAAGTCTGGACTTTAATTTATCATGGGGAATAGTTGTATAAAGTGTTGAAAAGTCGTACGTTTTGATTTTATTGATTTTAATAAAAATTTGTGATTTCAAATTTTCTTAAAGTTCCTTGGAGTTTTTAAGTATCCACATCTGATTTACACCACTTCTCAAATATACTGTTGTACAGTACTCCTGAAGTTTCTCCTCCATTACAGTAAATTTTTTAGTGAGGATTAATGAAAGAGGCTTGGTAGAGGATTTACTGGAACCCGCTATGGATCTTTGCAAGAATTTTTATGAAGTTTAGGAATCCGATAAAGGTACCAGTATGGTACATTTCTACATACATGATTGAAAGATGAGAAGGCACAGGGTTTTCCACATTTGAAAATTTAACCATGAAGGAATTTGCACGAAAGCGAAATGTGATCGAAAGCAGGAGGCCGTGTTAGACTATCTAAGCAAAGGTAGAAAGAAAACAAAAATAGAATAAATAAACAATAATAAGGATTATGTATCTTACTTTGTAAATATTCCAAATTTTATTAAAACGAACCAAAACTGTATGAGCATTTTAAAAGAATTTCATAGATTTTTTTTAATTTTAGATAAGTAACCATGGCAACAATGCTCGTCGAATTTTATTCAAAAACTGATGTACAGAATTGATGTTACATGTTGTATGACTTGTTTTATTTAAATAGGACCAAAACTGGTGAAGAAGTTGTATTTAAACAAAGTTTACAGACACACAAACGTACAGACGAACGAAAACCGACATCTTAACATTGTCTAAGCTTTTATATATATAAGTTAATATAACTACGGGCATAAATATGACACAACTGTAATTTTGCTTTCTCTATTCTGTTCTTTCTACACTCCATTTTTCGCAGATTTCCTTCAATTGTTTACTTCTCCACATGTCCCATTCTAAAATAGCACCAAGCGACGTTTCATAAAAACGGGAGGTAATTCCAAAACTAAGCCTGTGCATTGTGATTAGCGTTCATGTACATTTTAGCAGATAATATAATATAATATAATATAATATAATATAATATAATATAATATAATATAATATTATATATATATATATATATATATATATATATATATATATATATATATATATATATATATATATATATATATATATATATATATATATATATATATATATATATATATATATATATATAAACTTTATATATATATAAAAAATTATTTCAGTTAAGAACATGCTTTTAGAGTTACTGAAAATTGTAAGTGTAAAAAGATAAACATTGTTAAGAATTATATTCACAATCTATATATTTTCTAGTGATAGCAATGTAAAGTAGGAACGTTGACATTGGTTTTCGAGGGGTGAAAATTTTCAATGTTACACTCAAATACATGCAATATTTATTATATTATACTGAATGTTTTATACAAATAAATATAACAGTGAACCGTGCGCGCATAAATTCTGCGCAGTCACTATTTTTTGGAATATCACCCGTCGTCAAGCAATGTTGACTGTTGCTACGCTGGAGGGCGTGGCTTCATCATTCAGCGGGTTATAGTGTTTTTTAAAGAAATGTTCCTCGACGAATCAGATTCAACTAATTTACATGAAATTATAATATATATATTCAATATTCTGAAATGTTAGAAATCATATAATGTATGGTATATGACTTTACTGAAAACTTACATAAAAAGAACCGTAATACCCCTTCCCAAATATAAGTCACACTGAAAACTGAGAATTTACACTGCAACAGCATATACGTTGAACAAATTATGCTGATAAATGTTTTAATATACACAAGTTCAAAATTTTAGATACGTATATCGTTCATGAAGCAGGGTTTTCACTAACTTGTTTACTTGAGTCCTAGGACACAAGGTTTTTGAGATGGTTGAATCGCAGATAAATTTGATGCATCCCAGATTAATTATGTTGAGTCCCAGTTAAGTAGTGTTGTAGTGTCCTTCCATCCAAACAACAATAAAAACTTTTACGCTAGCTTACCGGTATATTATGCAGTAAATAAAGTGTTTATTTATCCAAGCTATATATCCAAATACACGCGTAATTAATGGCCATAAAATTATTTTTATTTTGTGAAAGCTATAAACTTAGCTGTTACATAAGTAAGTGAACTGACAAATCAAGTACTCTAATATATTATACACTATCACTGGTGTCATGTGCAGTGAAGTGTAACTATATTCATATGCAGTGTTAGTGGATGAAATTCACGAGATGAATTCATTTGAAGACAATAATTGGTAACGTTCATCTAAACTCCTCAGGAACTAACATCATCATGACGCCATCAGATGAAGCATGTACTTACGGCAATGCAATACAAGATTTGTATGATAAAAAAGTTGTCTATCAAATCACAACATCAGAAATAAATTAAGATTTTTTTGCCACCGTTTTATTAATTGTAAATATTGTATTAACGCAGCGTTATTTGGTAATACTGTACATGGATAATCTTCGTATGAAGTAACCTTTTTTTTCAAAAACAAAAGTCTTTTCTTTTTTTATCCAGTGTATAAATGCTGCATATACATAAGTTTTGATAAGAAAAACATTTTTGAAGTTATAGCGGGTTCTAGTAAATGTTCTTCCAAGCCTGTTTCCTTATTCTCCAAGAAAATATTATCAACAGTGAAGGAGAAACATCATGATTACAGTACAACGACATATTCGAGAAGTAGTTGAATTAAAGCCTAGACATTTTGACATCATAGACATGGAATTAATAATGGAAATCATAAACTTGCATACCTTGTCATTGATCATCTGTAAACTTAATTTGCTATAACAATATTCGGATTCTACTCACAAATACTCCAATGTTGATATTAAAAAGATGCTTGACTTTCTCATTCACAATACCATGTAGTTTTCAGAGACCAGGTCTTCCAACATTGTATTGGAATTTCATGGATTTATTACTCTGCCCCGTTATTAGCGCACCTGTTTTTGTATTCATATGAAGTATATTTATTTAAAAACTTCTACATGAAAAGAAGAAGATTCTTGATGTGGCTTTCAATTCGACAATCGGATATATCGACGACATTCTATCAATTTACAATATTCATTTTCATTCCTACGTTGATTCAGTATATGTCATTGAACTCAAAATCAAGGACACCACAGAGTCTGAGGGATGTGACCAGCAGACAGGGGATGCTTACTCCTCCATAGTACCTGATATCACCTCTGTTTTCAGAGGTCGCCGTGTTGTCTCTACCTATAAAATGTATTGTTTTAATGGACTTTGAGAATGATCACTGTTTTTATCGTCATATTTTATCTAGGTAATTATTCATAGCAAGGTGTCATATTTCCTTTGGTACACTCCAGAATACCACATAAATATTTGACCTGATATTAAATGAACAGAGTCATGATACTTGAACAAAATCTGTTAATTCAATCATGAAAACAATTGTTATAAAGTTCATAGTTCGTCGAATGGAAACAGTAGACAACGGTTTAGTGGAAATTTTCGCATCTTATTCTTTTTAACAGATGAACCACGCACTACCATAAATTACAGCATCATTGCAAATAGAATTGGCATGTGCATTTATAAGTTTTTAAAAATAAATACTGTAAACGTTGATATTTTTACGGGGTAAAGTGTTCGCGCAAGGGTTATTTTCGGGGAAATTAAAGAATTTTCAAACTTTGTTTAGTATGATGCCTTGAAACCGTTCGCGTAGTGATAATTTTTGTGAAAATTTACTCTTCGCAAAATTTGCAGTAATTTTCCCCAAGCAAACATTTCCACGTTTACTGCATTTGTGAAAATCTTCAAAGTTAACGAGCCTGAAGTCTCAAAATTGTTTAACTAATGAAAGCAGGTGTAAATAAAGATCCAGTTTTTTTATTTCGTTATTAACGAATAATGTTCTTTGTATGTCACTCTGTTAAACGGACTTTCAGTGCTTCTTAGAATGGGTTCCAAAAGATTAAGAAATAACAAGTGAAAGAATAAGTCATATTTTTATAATACACACCCTCACACGAACAACAACAAAAACAATCAATCAGTATTTTATCTATTTTTTTTTTTAAATTTCCATTGCCCTAACCAAAGATGCTGCAGAGAAATCCACTGCAAGGAGGCTGGGTGGCCGAGACCTCCACGTGATAACAGGCTACCTCCTCCCCTGTCTGTGTGTCTGTAATCTTAGCGTCCACTCTATAGTCTCCCTGGAACAAACATATCCGAATAAAGAGTTCTCATTTTATTTTCAGTATGAAAGGTTGAATACTTTAAATACTTTAAATACCCATTTTCTCCGTGTAAAATAAACTGAGAACAGACTTAAATCAAAATTTTGATTTTGAATATCTTGAGTTTTATTTAACATATGAGCTTAAACATTTGCTGGTTTGTAATATATTCAAATTCAAACATATGATGAAACTTTTGTTTCATCATCAAAATTATTTCAGAAGTTATATTGATTTGAAATTTTGACTTAAGTCTGTTCTCAGTTTATGGTCTTGGGGCCTTATCTTTCATAAAGTTTAGAATGTATTATTAACAATATGTAAAACACATGCATAAGACTGAGGTCTATATAACTAACAAAATCATTTTAAAATATCATATTTATAACAAACTTTACATCAAATGATTACATTTGATTCATGTATTTTATACCTAAATTTCAACTGACAGCCTAAACTTTGCAAATTAATCTCTAAGGTATCTGTTACTTTGATTAATGACATATTGATTTTTTAAATTTTTGTACAGGGGTTATATATATATTCATACTTAACGTCATGATTAAGCATGTGGCTATATGATATGCGCAACTTCTTATTATACAAATATGTATGTAAATGTTTCTATCTATCAGAACTTACAGAAGCTAACCATGACCACAATCCACTCATTTCTGGTATTTTGAAGACAGCTGGAGTCATAGTGTAGGTTCCAGGTTGAAATGGACAATGACAAGGAAGATTCTGTGCTCTTAGTTGTGGAGGACATTGTGTAGCATTAAACGTTGACAACAGATTACAGAGATCATACGAGCTACAATGAATTAAACGCAAAAATGATATTATTTCATACATTTATTATACGCCTAACATTTTGAACTTGCACAAGGGGGCGATATTATTTTTGACAAATGTGAGGGTCAATGTCAGAGTTTTATCTCAAATTAAGACCAATGCTTACGTTTAGGTCAGATATCAAATTCGTCATTGATAATGATTATGGCATCGTACTTCTCAAATAAATATATTTCTACAATTCAGTGACAATATACAACACTTCAACTACGTACCAGCTTCCGACGCCTGAGAGACATGGAACAGTAATCCAGAACAGGGCGTGTTTCTGTATATGGACGTCAAGCTTGTAATGGTTACCCTGCACCAGCCGAGGAGCCTGGATAACGATGTCTCCGGTTAAGTCCCCGGGAACGACAACAGGGAATGGATTCAAATGGGCAGAGGTCACATGAATGATCTTATTTGGACTATGGTCTAAAAAAATATAGAGAGAAGATCTAGAATATGTACATTCTAAAATTTCCAGTCAAAAACTACTGATGAATATATATTAATATTGGTAGTACTGTTGGTAATAGATCAGATTTTTTTCGGCAGACATTGTGTATAATAATTCAGCATTCTTTTAAAGAAGTGTCCAATGAGCTTACAATGGAGGGGGACTTGTTTTATCTATAATATTTATGTTATTTTTAAAGCATACAGTTAACGTTATTGAGTAATTTCTTTATGATTAAAAATTATGTCAGGGTTCCCCATGAGCTGTTTTACTGTGTCGGCCCCGAAAAGACGAACAAAGACGATCGAACTAAAATTTGAAAATACTTGGATATTCTATCCCGAAAAGATACAATTAATTTCTGCAAATTTCTTACTTGTAATCATTATTTACCGATTGAAAGTGGACGCTGGCCAAAAGAACCAAGAGAAAAGAGACTATGTAAAACAAGCATTCTGAGAGTATTGCATTAGCAATACTAGTCCCCTACCGGCAAGTGTAATCTGGTTCCCGTAAAAAATTGAAAATGCCATTATTCCGCCAAAAATCAATGAAGCAGAACAAAATGCAAACTTGATCTGTAACTCATGAAGGTAAAGTCACATACTCAAAAATCAGCTCAAATATCTGCAAGCGTTTAGAAAAAAAATTGCGGAAAATCAAGTGGGACAGACTGACAGACAGACAGACAGAGGGACAACTAGACAGACGGACAGACAGACAGCTAGACGGATGGACGGACGGACGGACAGACTCAGAGGAAACCTATAGTCCCCCCCGGTTTCACCGGTAGGGGACTAAAAAATTGTCATTTAAATGAAATAGGCGATGAATTCCATTTCATATTAAACTGTACGTCAGTGATACACGAGAGAAATAAATGTTTATCGCAAAAACAATTACGATTTAAAAATACATATACATTCAGAGAAATACTGAATTCAGAAAAACAATCCTTTTTAAGAAAACTTTGTACATTTATTACAAAAACAAGCATGCTTCCCGTTAAAAATTGAAAATGCCATAATTCCGTCAAAAATCATTGAAGCGAAACGAAATACAAACTTGATATATAACTAATCAAGGTAAAGTCACATACTCAAAAATCACCACAAAAATCTGCAAGCGTTTAGAAAAACAATGTAGAAATCCCTGAAAAACTGAAAAGGTCGTAATTCCGTCAAAAATCATTGAAGCGGAACGAAATGCAAACTTGAGCTGTAACTACACTCACATACCAAAAATCAGCTAAATATCTGCAAGCGTTTAGGAAAAAAGTGCGGAAAATCAAGTGGGACAGACTGACAGACAGACAGACAGAGGGACAACTAGACAGACGGACAGACAGACAGCTAGACGGACGGACGGACGGACGGACGGACAGACTCAGAGGAAACCTATAGCCCCCTCCGGTTTCACCGGTAGGGGACTAAAAAATTGTCATTTAAATGAAATAGGCGATGAATTCCATTACATTTTAAACTGTACGTCAGTGATACACGAGAGAAATAAATGTTTATCGCAAAAACAATTACGATTTAAAAATACATATACATTCAGAGAAATACTGAATTCAGAAAAACAATCCTTTATTAAGAAAACCTTGTACATTTATTACAAAAACAAGCATGCTTCCCCTTAAAAATTGAATATGCCATAATTCCGTCAAAAATCATTGAACCGAAACGAAATGCAAACTTGATATATAACTAATCAAGGTAAAGTCACATACTCAAAAATCACCACAAAATCTGCAAGCGTTTAGAAAAACAATGCAGAAAACCCTGAAAAATTGAAAAGGTCGTAATTCCGTCAAATATCATTGAAGCGGAACGAAATGCAAACTTGAGCTGTAACTACACTCACATACCAAAAATCAGCTCAATATCTGCAAGCTTTTAGGAAAAAAGTGCGGAAAACCAAGTGAGACAGATTGACAGACAGACAGAGGGACAGCTAGACGGACGGACAGACAGCCAGAAAGACAGACTCGGAGGAAACCTATAGTCCCCACCGGTTTCACCGGTAGGGGACTAATTACTAAAACGTGCTCCCCGAATTAGTAAAGATCTTATATCTTTAATTGCACCATTTGTCTATCCTCATATTCACGCATAAAATTTGTTTTTATTTGTCATCATTGTTTACATTTTTATCTCTGTATACAATTGTAAAACTGTGAAGAGATTAAAATAAATTCAGTGCAGTTCAGTAAAAATTTTCCCCGACACAGTAACGATTCAAATTTTCGTGTGAAAATAAGAAAATCAGAACATAAATTCTCTCTGACTTAAACTTTGATCAAGCAAATCTACCGTCTATCATTTTTTAAGACAGAGCACTTAATTATCTCCTTTTTATGGCACTTTGTCTTGCTTCAACTTGCATAATCAATTATCTCGTAGGCCTGAACCCTCGCTGGACTTTACGCATGAAGGAACAAAGACAAATAATTTGTTTTCACACTTCCAAACCGTATAATTGCTAGTTGCATTTTTAAATATGATTTCAAAATTTAAAAAAATATTATAAATATATGTCTTTAAGCTTCAGAACCACGTCTCTAGAATCATGTTGGCACTGTGAGTCACACATCATACCGTAATCATTTCATTGATGTAAATGTATTGTTGAAGAATTAAAAGGCACCCCCTAGAAGTATTTTACTATAATATAAGTTTTTTTTTAACTCTGTAATTCGATCAACTGAAAAAAATCACGGCAGATTTACTGTAGATCGATTGTATCGACCAGAATTTTTTCTGCTCTCCAGAGCATGTGTAAAACATGAAGTTATATACACAAAAATATCAAGGTTTAATATATTCGTACAACTTGTAGATAGTGATACAAGTATATTATGCAAGTTTTTTTTAGTCCCCTACCGGTGAAACCGGAGGGGACCCTAGGTTTCCTCTGAGTCTGTCCGTCTGTCACCTTGTCTGTCTGTCAGTCTGTCCCACTTGGTTTTCAACACTCTTCTTCTAAACGCTTGCAGATATTGAGCTGATTTTTGGTATGTGAGTGTATCTTGATGAGTTACAGATCAAGTTTGCATTTTGTTCCGCTTCAATGATTTTTGACGGAATTAAGACCTTTTCAATTTTTTAGGGTTTTCCGATTTTTTTCTAGACGCTTGAAGATATTGAGCTGATTTTTGGTATGTGTTTTTTGCTTGATGATTTATAGATCAAGTTTGCATTTCGTTCCGCTTCATTGATTTTTGACGGAATTATGGCATTTTCAATTCTTAACGGGAACCAGATTACACTTGCCGGTAAGGGAACTAGTATTGCTAATGCAATAATCTCAGAATGCTTGTTTATTTCAAAAAATCGTACGTATATTTTTTAAGTTGTGGTATGTGTGTTGGGGAGGGGGGGGGGGGTTACAGTTGGTTTGTCTTATACCTGTAGTACACTGAATGTACATTATTATATGGAAACATTCTAATAGTTTTAGATATCCATTAATTTATTGTTTTGATTAATATGCATGACCATATCATTTGTGTAACGAATAAGTGATTAAAAAATTGCATATATGTTTTTGTAATTATAATGATCAGTGGTTCAGTTGCGAATTTGATCGCGAAAATGCCGCGAATATTAGTGGTTCACGAAAAGTCTGCAACACAGTTAAATTTCAGTTGATGGAGAACCCTGTATATATATGATGGGAGGCTTACGAAGGATGAAATAAACGGTATTGAAAAAGTGTTCAATATTATTTAGTATAGGACGTTCTAGCTAAGATTTACTCAATCTCGCCATGAATACAATATTTCTATACGATATGAAGATTTTTTCACTTCGTTTATTCATATTAAATGAGATTTTAATTCAATGCATGGGGAAAGTTTATTTTCAAAGACTTCTTATCGGGAATTCTTTCCCGAGTTTCAGATTTACTCTGCATATACAAAATTCCAAATGTTAATATGGAACTTTAAATGAAAATTCTTAATCATCTGGTCTTTGTCATGTTTGTCTTATTTCTAATAAAAACAAAACAACACTACTTTTAATAACAGTGACCTGAGATAAAAACAAATAATGGAAATATTAAATCAAGGATAATATGCCTTTTATCTAGTAAAGAAAGGAATCTGCGTAATTTATTATGTAGAATCACATCTAGAATTCTCTAGATTACGGATTTTAAACTTACATCTCTTTTGAAAAGTTAGCTTATTTAGGACATCAACTGTATTAACTTCAACAGAATCTTGTTTTTCTTTCCGTAAATTAAATCTGCTCATTTCCTTAAAAAATATATGCTTTACAAGCAAGGAACTCTTACAATTTGAAGAAATACAAAATATACCACGAACAACGTGAACAGTCTAGATTAAAGTGTTATTTATGAATTTTGGGAAAATGGCATTGTTTGTATTTTTATCTCTGTTAGGGAATGGGCGCGACCTTATTGTTCTCATTTGTCAGACAAAATTTAGAAATAAAGGCGGTCAGAAATAAACATTACTTTGACTGTTCAGTTCACAAGTTTGTGGAATGCTCTCAATGCAACAAGGAAATATGCACTAAATAAAAAGAATATATGTATACAGTAACTTACTACAGTCCCTGTACGAAAAGGGGTGCGAAGCAAGAGATCCAGTCACAAGGGCCAAAAGAACTATCAAAAAACCTGCCATCTTTCTTGTAGTCCAGTAGAAGATAGCGAGAGTCTAAGTTTGTATCCGAGGACACAGCGTGACAAATCAAATATCAAAAGCTCCTAACAATGATAAGAATCACCGTATATTGACGATATTTTGTACCATCTTTAATCTAGGTATGTATGTCCCACTTCGACAAACTTAAGATTACATAGAATGAAGGAAGGTCTAATATGGACGTGGTTAATCAATTCTGACACTCTCCCACATTTATCTTGGTATATTTAATGGACAACATTTTGTCATGTAAATTTTGAATTTACCTGGTGGCAGTAAATACGAAGTTTACAGCAATGTGGTAATTTTAAAATTTACAGCGTGGCAATTCCATCTTTAATTTTAGCTTACAACTTTGTTTTCAAATGTACAATGTATATTTGACTCTTTTGTCGGAATATTGGGTCCACTCCATGGCAGATGACCCCCCCCCCCAATAAACACACACACACACACACACACACACACACACACACACACATTTGAAATAATCTAAATGATTTCTTTTTATTTTAATTGACAATGAAATTGTTTCAGCAGAACGACTTATATAAAGATTTCATTAAGCACAATCCTCCAACCCTTGTGACCAACCCTTGCAGTATTATTCAAGGTAGTATAGGGTTAGGCTCTTTTCATTTCCATAGAGATGAAATTGATTTGTAACAAAATTTCCATTTCAAATTTATATATGAGATATTTTTAATTTCAAATCCTAAAATACAAATAATATATGGGCAAATCCATTCATTTATAACTCTAAGTAATCACAATTTAAACACATAAAATATTCATTTAAACCATACCTTTACAATTTATATAACATTTTATATAATAATTAATGCAAGTTTTCAAACCCTTCATCTTAAATTGATGATATAGATAATATTTCTATCTGTTATAATATATACTTAAAGTACATGTCAATGTATGGAATATAATGAGATATCTTACACAGGCACTTCCTCTATACTATTTTATGTATTTTATGATACCCAAATAATGAAATGTAAGGACAGTATTCAAGCTTAAAAGTCCATTAAATAATACAAATTTACGAGCAGAGCAAACACGGACCTCTAAAACATCAGAGGTTGGATCAGGTGCCATGGAGGAGTGAGCATCCCCTGCCGAACACCCGCCTCTGTTTTAGATTACTTTCTTTTATATGTAAACTCTTGTTATTCATTTTGGAAAACTTGTTATTCATAATCGTAAACTTGTGATTCATATTCTAAATATTGATCTATATTTGATAATTGCTATTCATTTTCGTAAACTTGCAATTTATATGCGAATACTTGCGATTAATATACGAAAAATTTATATTTCGTAAGTATGCACACAAGCTTGTGATTCATATTCAGTGATTTTTTAATTCACATTTCATATTCCTGTGAATTATATACGATAATATTGTGATTTATATGCAAAGAGTTGATATTCGTATTTCGAAAGAATGTTATTTCTATGCAAAACTTGTGATTAATATTCGATAACCTAATGATGTTATATCGCATAAAAAAAAGGTATCACATAGAAACCATAAGATTATTGCATATATATTACTAAATTACCAAATATGAATCATTATGTTCGTACTTAAATGAACAAGTTTCAAATAATTTCGAATATAAATGACAAGATGTCGTATATACCGGTAAATCAAAAGATCATCGCATATAAATCATAATGCTAATACAAAATGAATCACAAGATTTTGCATATCCATAATGAATTTTTGGATATGAATATCAACTTTTCGTATATAAATCGGAAGTTATCGGATGTAAATCACTTTTTGATACACATAAATATTAAGTTTTCGAATATGAATAACAATTTTTTGCCATAAATCGTATATAAATCAGAAGATTATCAAATGTGTACCACCACTTTGTGCAGAAAAATAACATTTTTTAAATTATAAATATCAACGTTTCACATATAAACCAGATTTCGCATATAATTCACAAGATTACAAATATGAATCACAAGTTTACGAATATGAATCACATATTTACGGAGTTGTATTAAGTTATCCTCAATAAAACTATATAAGATAAACCAAGAGAAATATAAAGGTTTTTAAAGTTGTATGTAAGGTCATAGGGCCAAAGTAAAAAAAATAATTGAACAGTTTAATTGCTTACTAATTTGTTTCCCTGTACTGATTTTCCCTTAATGAAGTTGATAGTAATATAAAATAAAGAAAAAAGGTTAAGGAAAAGGTTAGAAAAGCTCAAATCAAAGTTGGAAAAGCCAAGATTAAAGTTGAAAAAGCCCACTTTAATGTTTGGAAGACCAACTTTAAAGTTGGCAAAAAACACTACATGGCGCTCAGACGCTTGCGTAGGAAGATCATGCAAAGCTTTGGACTTGTTAGCATTGATATTGTTTGCTTCAATGAATGATGTAAATATAGATGCTCTCGTGAAGACTTATATCAAATTCATTATAGAAAGATTACAAAAATACTTATCAGCTCGTACCTTATTTCATTAATGAGATTACACGAAAGGAAAATGTAAAGATTGCAAACAATGTTCATAAACCATATAAACAATACAAATCGGAACCAGGAGAAAACAAAACAATAGAGAACAGGGGCTCATAACATAAAGCTTGTTAAGTTTTTGACCTAAGTAGGGTCATAAGTATGTTTTAGGTGCACTCTTAGGATCTGTCTAAGCACAACTTACGTATGTCTTAAAATGTAACATAAAATGAACCAAGCGAGGTCTTAACTAAGTCAAACTTATGTTCACCATATTTATGATGAATAACCCTAGGTTTTTTTTATTACTTTATTTACATATACTGGGAAAAAAAATAATCCAGTTACGTTTTAATTAGATATATTTAATCGCGTACAGAATTTGCTCTTGCGTACCGAATCGTTTGAGAGACAAACGCTTATGATAATGGAATATTAATAAAAATGAAAAGCTGACAGATGAAAAGGCTGAAGTTATCCAGTTTATCACATAGTTTGTATGAACTCTATATTCAGAACAATGCTCAAGGATTAGTATGAAAAAGGATGTGGCAGATTCCGTATTTAAAATTTTGTAGGATATATCGAGTCGACATTTGAAGAGAAATGAAATTGTTTATTGATTAAACGTCGTCTGTCGATATATACCAAAATGCCGAATGGAAGCCACAACAAAGGGGTTTTTTTTTCTTCTTGATATGTTTTTAAAAAAAATTCTGCATCATTCAAATTCAAAAACAGATTAGACTAATAAAGGAGCGCAATTTATGCTGATTGAAATCTGAACGGATTTTTGGAAGACCTGGGGGTCGTAAAATAAAGCTTGCTAAGAATTTGACTTAAGTAGGGTCATAAGTATGTTTTAGGTGCATATGTATCCTTTCATTCAGAACTTTCTATCTTTTCATTGTAAAAAGTTTGTATACCTTCTGGGCCCAAATTTGGAAAATAAAATTATCTTATCTTATATATATGTAAAAATGATTTAGTTACGTTTTTAATTACACATATATTAAAGTTGACGTCCTCACCTATAGGTTTTATCTAGGTTAGATTAGATTTCGTATTTAAAGTATCATTCTGTTTAAATTATTCTGAATATTTGAGAACAAATATTGCACGGTCACAACGTGTTACTAGTGGTTCATTGTAAATGCGTTAATATTGTTTATCTCTCGAGACTGCGATGTTTTCAGTTTACTGTTTGTTGTTATTCTTTCGTTTTGACAAATGTTCACTTGCTTTCAAATTGTCATTCTCACAGACATGGCACGATAACCGAACGTCTATGTACTTGAAATTGAAACTCTAATTAAAAAAGTACAAAACAAGAGGGGCATTTTGAAGTTTTTCTTCCCAAAATCACAAGCAGAGACTGCAGACGTTTTATGGTATACTTATTTACAATTCAATGAAGGATGGAAAAGAATTGTTTTCAGAAAACATTTTTTCGTATATCTCCAATTTATCAACAACTCTCTCTCTCTCTCTCTCTCTCTCTCTCTCTCTCTCTCTCTCTCTCTCTCTCGTACGGTAGTTAACCCTGTTTGAATCCTCGCTTGTTGCGTTCTACATTCAATCAATCTAATTTACTGACATTCTTTATTAGTTTTCTAGTCATCATTCTTTAATTCACCGACGATTTTTAAAATCTATTAGATCTCATTTTTTCACAATGAACAGACAAATCCATGATTACTGTATACAATTTACTTATAATGAACAGTGTTTATAACGTAAGTCCCACTTATATTTCAAACGTATCCCAAAAATAATATTTTGCATTTACATGTATGTCATTTAGGGAGTGATATTGGAATCAGTGATGAATACCCCCCTTCCCCCCTTCCTAGACGAAAAACTAAAATTCTTACACCAGTATATTAAATAAAGAAAATTATTTTTTAATGCATAATATAAATAGAGGTATGTTTTAACATAAAAAGTCGACCTTAAATAGCTCTAAATATATGTTGAAGAAAGTTAAGACATACTTAAGTCACCTCTACCGACCGCCTAAGTTTTGCTAAGATTGTCAAATCTTAGCTCGTTTCTAGTTACGGTCTTAAGTTTAAGACTGTACTTAAATCCTACTTAAGTATGGCCTTAGACTTAAGTATACCCTTTATGGTACGACCCCCCTGGTCTCAAAGGACTACATAGGTTTAAATGAACTCTATAGAAATATCTAATTCTAGAATCAAATTATGAAAAAATGTTGAACATTAAAAAATCTTATTTTTACTCACACATTATCATGTCAAAAATATTTTCGACTTATTATTGAAAAAAAATATTCAGTAGAAAACCTTATACATTTTCTATTAATACTATAAATTTGATAGGATATTCTGCAACTTTAAGAATTTAAGAAATATAATTTCTAAGGAATATCTGTGGTTTTATTTATTTTCACGGAGATCAAATCCAAATTTCGTGGTTTTAGCAAAAATAGTAACTTTGTTGATTATGTAACGAGGGCGGCTACATTTTATCAACAAGATTTAAAACTGTTGTTTGTTCGTCGCCTATTTTTGTGGTCTGGCTTATTGGTGTTCAACGAGATGTGGTGAAACCACGGTACATGTTCGTTGCTTTTACTTAGGCCAGACCACAAAATTACTTGATCGACCAATTTCATTATTACATGTAAATCTTATACGGTGCCAAACATTTATCTTAGAAGAGGACGAGATAGCTGTCCGATGCACATGTACATATCAACGAAATCGTTTGTTTTTGTCAAAGAATGATGTGCCAAAACTACTTTCTGCAGCCCTTTTTCTACGACGAATTATATTTATTCCACAACGATTTTGATAGTTTTCAAACAAAAGTGAATAAATACGACGCCTTTTGAATATTTTCATTAGTTAAAACATATTTTAATTATGAGGATTACTTCATTATCTATGATTTTTTAGGCCCCATGAGAGCAAAATTCGGCCTGGTTTGTGAGGATCTTTTACGAAAAGAGAATAGGCGGGTCTTAGTACAATAGAGGGGTATGCATGTCCGTGGAATCTACCTTATATGGCTATTGTTATTATTTCCCACATATTTGCTTACCGAGAACAATTGTCCAATCCGATGACTGAACGACAAAACATGCTGTCGTTTACTACATGTTTACATTTTATCACAGACACGTGGTTTAGGTCAATTTACACATTATCTCTACAGTGACTACATTTCAAACTTTAATGGTCAGCAAAGGCTTTTTACACATGATAATACGTATGGAACCTCAGTGTTTACCGTTTTGGGTCGAGAAATTCACAATGAAACTTGTATTCACTGATTCTCGGGAATAAGTGTAGCCAATTGCCCAACGACGCTTTACAACCTATGAAATTATACAATGTATATTTATAAAAAAAAATATATATATATTGTTTGTAATTATGAGCAGGGAAATTGTAGATTAGTGTCTAATCTGTGTCTCAAATGAATAAAAAAAAATGTTTATCGGAAAACAAGAAAAAATTTATGCCTTTTTTCCAAGATTTAAATTTCCTTAGAATTTTTGTAGTACTCACTCGTAATACAACTCATTTAGCTGATTGGTCGGTTAGAAAATCATGCCGGTGCCTCGATTAGCATATGAATTTATTCTTACGTCAGAGAAAGATCTGTTCGTAATGGGGAAAACCAGCCAGATTTTACAATGTTTTAAACACAACATTCGAGCGCAATTAGGTACAATTCTCTCCTTTCACATATAGGTAGATTTCAATGAAATACAGCGACCATACACAGGAGAAAAATGTACCTACTTGCGCTCGTATACTTTAAGGGCTTCAAAGAGTGGGGCGGGGCCAAAATTCAATGGGAATTGGATGATAGTACCCCTACTCAAAATAAAGAAAAATATCTTCCAAATTATGTTTGTATTTTCGGTAAAGTAGTATTCCATGACGGTACACATATCAGTGATTAAGTGGATGCAAAAATTAGAGTAAAATTTAGATATTTTATTTTTCCTCAATTTACCGGGGGCCGCATGGCACATCATCCTTTTCAAAATTTGATTCCCTCGAAAATAAATGACACCCCAGTATACCACTTACTTTGTTTGAAACGTATCTCGAAGGTATGGCGTAAAATTAGTTTTCTGTTCTATTCTGATTTCTTAATACATTGTTGTACATACCAACTTTTGTACACCTGTAAATACTGCATATGTAAGGAGACAAGAATTACACAACATAGCTTTTCAAACCTTTCATTAGATAGTTGTTTAAAATAACTTGCTTGAATTTTTTGTAAATTTTATTTCAATGGATTTCATGACCTTGAAGGCTGGAAATAATTTTTTGTATATCTTGTTGCAAATATAATCTCAGTCTGTAACAAGAAGATTTAGTAGTTTATGTAACATTCTTTGTTCGTTGCAATTAAAACATTAAAATTCATGAAATGTATAATACAGAGTTCTCTGAGTCTTTATCAATAAAAATATTAGTATCTTATTTTTATTACAAAATATACGGATCAACATTCAAATGGTTTGTTTAATACGATTTTAACGTTTGTAATATAACATGTCAATGCATCCAAGTTCTAAAATAAAATTTGAATCAATTGTGGTACATCATGGAAGCACAATAAACAAAGTTAACACAAAAATCCAACAATTAACCAATTACAGAGCTGAGATCAAACGTATTTGTACTTTGTTGAGAGTTAGAGACTGGTCTATAAAAATTATGAATGCCTTTGAGAGCCTTTGGTGCAAACTGTGTCCAAAATGCTGTGCGAGTTGCATCCATTTTAGATTTTATTGATAGTGTGGTATTAAGATCCATGTAGAATTCTGAATTTAAATCGAATTCTGGCCATATCAATGGAACAGCAACAGGTTTGTTAGGATCCCTGAAAAAAATATAGTTTGATTACAAAATGTCGACGTATTCGCTTAAGATTCATTTTATAATTACATGCATATGCATAAGATATGTCATTTATAAACTTTAGAAAACCGCGGTTATCCCAACGACTACGATTTTCCATCACTATGATTATACACTTAAAAAGTGGTTACCTTCACTATTTTTTTTCATTTTGTTTATTTTCGAATTGTGAATTGTATAATAATAAAAATAATAATAGTAAAGCGCAAAAATAACAATAAAACGGTTAATATTTTACATGAGGCGTCTATTTAACAGAAAGATGACTCTTCCTTCGTTATTTAGGAATTGCAAAATTTTAACCAAACGAAATTATTTCTACGTTATTCACCATCATTTGCACTGTTGAAACAGATAAGCAGTATTTAAACTTTGTTGTTGTTGGTTTTACATAGTGGACAGAGGAAGGTAATGACACATTTTTATCTTGCATTCTTTGAATAGGAATGTACATGAACTTTCAAAGTAGACAAATTTGCTCTAGAGACTTTCTTCTATTGTCGTACAAGAAAAGCTTCATACCCTGTTTTGGCAAAATTAGTCCAGTAAGTCATGATTTTCTCAGAAAGTAAAACTTCAGCTGATTGAAGAGTGTCTTTAAAATTAAGTCCCTTTTGCATACTAGTTGGAAAACCAAAAACGTAAGGTAGCTCATCTCCGTGACCTGCTCCAGGTGCCCACGGAATAGTGTGTGCGTAGGAAGAGCGATGTGTAAAAAGGTACATGTATGTATGCCGTCCTGATGTCTGTACTTTTGTATGCGCACGGGCAGAAATTTTGGCGGGCATGAAAAATTGATAATCGGATGACATATCAAGCATCTTTTGTAAGTAGGTATTGTTTGTAGTGGTCTTTGACCATTTAGTGTATACAAATGACATTGTGTCTGCAAGCAAAGCAACTGTCGCACCAAAACGATCTGTTAGAATAGAATTTGTAACATAGTTGTTAACAATGTCAAGTCCGGGGCTTTTTGGAGTAATTTTACTTTGTACGAATGGAAGAAGTGAGACCATGGTTATAAATCCACCATCTCCATCATTTATTCCTATCAAAAGGTCTAGATCAGCGAGAGTATCTCTTCCCTCAGAGAACATAGTTTCTGGATAAAGAAAAGCATCTGGCGGAAGTTGTTTGACGAATTCTCCATCTACAACAGGGGTCCACTCAGGACGGTATATTTCGTCTTCTTTAGTTCCAACTTGTGCATTTGCGATCAAGTCTTCAAACGGTTTTGTTCTTAGGCAGTTCACAAGCTTAACGTTTGTAGCCACTGAGCAGTTTAATTTCATTCCTAGTAATTTAGAATATCTGCCAACCGTTGCTCTTTCACTATAAGCCCAAGGACAAATTGCAGTTCCACTTTCAGAGATTATTCTTTTCATAAGTCCTTTATTAGATGGATAAATGGCCTGGAAGAAAGAGCTGGCACCACCTGCAGATTCTCCAAATACTGTGACAAGGTTAGGATCACCCCCAAAAGATGCAATATTATCATGGACCCACTGGAGAGCCATGTGCTGATCCCATAGTCCGTAATTACCCTTAGCCGTGTCATCATCGGTGGCTAAAAACCCTATTGGACCAAGTCTGTAGTTAGCTGTAACAACCACAACGTTCCCAAATCCGGAAAGAGTACTTGCATCGTATATACTAGATTGTCCAATTACAAATGCCCCTCCATGGAACCAAACCATAACAGCTAAATTATGCGCATGGGCTGGAGCAAAAACGTTTAATGTTAAGCAGTCCTCTGATATCATGGGCTTGCCTGGAATCCATTGCTGGGAGAATTCAGCCTTTTGTGGACAAGCTGGACCATACTTTGTTGCAGAGAATGCATGTGTAAAACGTGCTTTTTTGATAGGTTTTGCAAATCGAAGGACTCCTAATGGTGGCTCAGCAAATGGAATTCCGAGAAAAGTATTAACATTATACCTCACAGATTCAAATGATGTGGTGTTTGCGAATCCAACTATATTTCCTGCATTTGAATGCACATGGACACTTTCATGTTGACAAAGAACAAAACGGAACCAGAAGAGCAAAGGCAAAGAATCCCAAGCTATTGTCCACATGATTTGGAAAACGATTATGATTACTTTCAACTCCTCAGACCATCTGTATGCCCATCGAACATTTATCTAAAACCCCTACCGAAGTAAGGTAGATAAGACATGGTTTTAATGATCTAAATAATATCGTATTCTTGAAGTACTAAGTATCTTTAATAGTCACTTAGTTCTGAGAGAAATAGTATTAAATGACACAATACATTTACATGTATTTTATAGTGACATTCTCCAACTAATAAATATTTAAGATAAATTACCTACTATAAAAGAAAAGGAATAGAAAAATAATTTTGCGTTTAAATTTCATGGTTTATCATATTGCAACCACAGAGAAAACTATCTTGTATCCATACATTGACAGATTGTCCTTTTTACATTTTAGAGTCTAGTCAAGCTAGAGAAGTATTTTTATGCCATAAATTAAGATTTTAAGGTTAAATTTCAGTTGGTCAAATGTCTATTAACGTTCTGATTAGATAGGTGACTCGACAATTTAAATCACTTATATTTTGAACAACGGAAATAATAACCTTAAAAACGGAAACTAATGTGAATGGAGAATCTAAAAACACAACTCTTTATGGTAGGCATTCATAGTATAAAATCAATAAGTAGTTAATTTAAAAGTTCACGAGAAAGTAGAACTTGATGTATAGATTCACGTTTAATAGCATATGAATTTAAAAAAGGCCGTTTGTCATCGAAAGTTGCATATATTTTAAAGTTTTTAGTTAAAAAATATATAGCATATTGATATAACATAAATCAATTAGCGATTTCTCAAAAAAGGGTTAAAAAACTACAGCTAATAATTATTGAAATATTGTCTATCTATTGGTTACAGATAAACTGTGTTAGAGAAACATCACAGTTCCAAATTTTCTCTAATTTCATTCAAACGTGTAAATAGCGATTTTGACATTGAAAGCCTCCATTTAACCTTGACCTTTAAGCAAGCTTGTCAAAATGACATCCGCAAAAATCCTCTTCTACCAAATGAAAAAAAAAAATGAAAAAAATTCTTTTAATTTTACAAGAAATTTTACATCGTGTGTGTATTATAATCTTTTTTTTTTAATTTCATGACACCCAACTGCAAAGATAGCAATTTATGATAGCTAATTTGAATGAATACTGGTATTTTATGACTTTGTTATTTGTTGTGTTGAGCAATCCGTCGGATGAGTTCAAGTTTGACGTAAGCACTCATTACCCACTATAATAATAGAGAAACACGTATTATGCATCTCGATAAAGTCATTTATACACAACTAACCGCGTACAACAAGTCGAGAAAAGACATCATCGATCTTTTATGGAGTTTTCGAAGCAACTATTAAATGTTGAATATATGTAACTACATGTACATGGAGACATTTGACAGATACAAGGAAAGAGTATGTTCTAGAAAAACTGGGGAGAAGACTTAATAACTTTATAATTACCAAAAATTAATATGAAATTAATTTAGTCTTATGTATTTAAATATACTAGCTTGCGTGTACGAAAAAAGCTTAATTATCTCACACAGCGCAGTTACCATAAAAAAAACTTAATTGTACTTAAGTTAGTTTGCAGCTGAAAACAAATTACGTTTTTTTTTTTATCTGAATTGTTTTAATGGTCTGGTTAGTGAAAAATGTTCTTGTCATTTTTGTAAAATTGTGTCAACAAACCACGCTGTTTGCAAACATAGTATTTACTAATTAAAAGTGAGTAGAGGATTTTAATTACGTGAAGAATTAAGGAAATATCATATAATTGGATCTGGGAAAAAAATGCATCGTGCAGAATACTTAAATATTCTGAGATATGTTATATTATCTCAGCTCCAATGAATATAAGGATTGCAATCGCAATGAGAAATATTGATATTTCATCACATATTGTAACTGATAATGGATAATTTATAAATGGAAAGTACTGCAAGGAGTGTTTTTTTTTATTGTAATGACGTAGATTTTCGTAATTCAGAGAAAATTGCATTTTGTTAAATGGAATAAAGCTTTAAGCATTTGTTCTATTTATTATCAAAGGGGTAAAATGAAATTCAAATGTTTCCATACACGGATATGTTATTGCATGAGAGATAATTTCATTGATAGAATTTTGAAAAGTGTATTTATCTAGGTTTTGAAGTGGCAAGTATTCTCTCTTCTTAAGAGTACAAAATAATCAGCATTCAAATGCCTTGCTTTTGTGTCTTAACTCAATTTGTATATTGAATATACATCTCTTTTTTCAATTTCTATTAATTTTCTTTTTACAACAACAGTACTTAAATTTCTATTGCTTTTTAAAACGTTCTAGCGGTTATCAAATCTCTTGTGGACTAATCAAACTAAAATCGCTTAAAGTGGTTCATTACACTCAGAGTCTTTTTTCATAATTTCTTTACAGAACCACTTATCATCTGGATTTCAAGTAACGAAACATGAAGTATTTTAGATGATTTTAAAATATTTTTTCTGATTTAGTTAAATGTTTTATTTTACTTTTTTTTATTATGAAAATTGCAGAAAACTCAATGTGATGAATATCTTCTTCAAACATGTAAAGAAAATGTTAACAGAACATTCATTTATCTTTTTATCAAAATTAAAAAAAAAAAAGTCAATGTGTTTTTTCTTCTTAATCAATTTGTTTTATTTTATCATTATTATTCTTTTTGGTCTTTCACGTTGAGGCACTCATGTCTTGTGACACAATTGCTACCCCAAAATTACAATTATTACTTCATTTTGTCAGTTTTATGGAAAATGACGCAGGAAAATGGGAGAGCGATTGTTTTTTTTGTCGCAATTTACAATCTAATTTAAAAAAAAAACATATATATATATTCGAATAGCGCAAATGATTCAGAGAGGAGAGACACATTTAATTCCGATTCGCGGTCCAGGTAGAAATTATGCGGTATGCGGTAATAATTGAACTCAGATGAAAGGAAAAGCAGCCAAAGTCAAGTAAGAATCTTTATTTTTTGTGTAGCTCTATTTATAATATTGTGGTTTGAAATCGACTATTCATGAAATTTTAAATTCGTATATGGCTATTAGTCAGCATATAATACTAAGGTATCTTGTCAAGAAAAGAGTATCAAGATAAAATTTTCATCACTTCTTAAAGTTTTTTTTAAGTTCTTTGTAACCACAGTCTACATAGTATTAATTTTATCGTTCAAGTCCACGAAATTTTTGACAAATCCTCATTTTTTTCTTAGCTTTAAAGACATCAAGAAAAAAGTTGATTTCGTAAAATGTATACATACATGATGAGCAAATGATTTTAAAAAAACATTGAAGTATAGGTCTGACTTTTTTGTTTGTCTGACAGGGTTCCATTTTAAATTTAATCCAAGACAATTAACCATTTAACTTGTGAATACCTTTAATACAAATAGCTTATAAGATATCATAATCTTATCATAACATCTTAAGACCATTTTAAGAATGAATTAAATGCTTTCTATTTAAATTTATTCTAGGGAGTTATTCTTGTTTAAACCTTTAACTTATGTTTTCTCTCATAACTGTTGACATGCTATTATTTTATTTTATAACTGTTGATTTGTTATTTTTTAGAGTTAGAGCGACTACAAAAAAAAATGTTATGGTTCCCACAGACAAGGCTGGTAACAATATCGCTTTAAATTTGTTTTTAAAGTTCATTATTATAATTTTATTTTGACAGAACTTGTTTTTAATTGTACGTCTGAAAATCCAGCATATACTCACAGTTCATTTTCCAAAGCAGAAATTCTTCAAAATCATATTTCAGTGTTTAAAACTTTTAAAATGATAGGTTATATTTGCTAACAAGGTCATCATAACGACAATAAAATTTACGAAATGCTGACTTTAAACGAGGCTGTTGAAATCCCTGTAACATCAAATTATCAGTGAGTAGCCTGCCTCGCTTTAAAAATTGATGGCACCCAGAGCAAACTCTTCAGTTGCGAATATGTTGGGAGACATAAACACCATAAGCAGGTGATAGTGGAATATTACTATTTTAATAAGGAAAGTTGGCGGTGGAAAAGCTAATTATAAAAGTCATCTCGTTTGTCATACAAATTAGTTGTCAATTGGCCTTTATCGTCTATAGTTAGTAAAATCTAAATATGAAACAGATGTGGCAGACTCTGTAGTGTCTTTTATTTCAAGTTTACATACGAATGAAAATAACTGTTGTTAATTGATAAAACATCGTTGATATATCTGAATGTCCAATTGAAGGTCACAGCTAGCGTTTTCTTTTTCTCGTGTAGAAGTTTTTGAATAAATCCTGTTTCATGAGAATATAAAAACAGGTCAGCTGATAAAGGAGCACAATTCGTGCCCATCGAAATTCCAACAGTTTGTTGGAAAACTTGGTCTCTGAAGACTTTATAAATGTTGTCAATGAGGAACTCCGGCATCCTTTTAATATAAACTTCAGAGTACTTGTGTGTACAATCAGAGCGGTTTTTGAAAATTTCCGAGTTCCATTTTTATTTAAGAAACAGTTGTTAATGATATCAAAAAGTCTAGATTTTAATTCATCGTTAGACGTGAGGAATTGTTGTATAAAGTGTAGAAAAGTCGTACGTTTTGATGTTATAGACTTTTGAAAAATTTGGTGATTTTAAAGTTTATAAAAATTCTTTCGAGTCTTTGAGGATCCACATCTGATTAACACCACTTCTAGAATAAGTTGTAGCACATTACGTCTGAAGTTTATCCTTTACTGCAGACAATATATTTGTAAGGAGAAGGAAATGGGCTTGGTAGAGCACTGGATCCAGAAAGGTATCGTTGTTTGTAAGGATGTTTATGAAGTTTAGAAATCCAGTACAGGTAGGATAGATCGAACCCACCTTGGTTGACTGGTATGGGTCGTATTTTGGCTCACTTGTTTCATACGAGGCCTTCGTTTTTGTACTGAATTGACTACGGATAGTTCCGTCTACCTGATCAATCCATAGGGCTCACGGCGGGTGTGACCGGTTAACAGAGGATACTCAC